CAGCCCCTAATCTGCTTCTTCAGTCTTGTGGGGAAACGGCTTTTTCTCTGTTTTATTCTGCACAGGGAAGGGATCGCAGAGGAAGGAGAAAAGCTGTTCCCGGTGCTTGGGGGTATTGTATGGGTGCAGCCGAGGTCTCTTACCTTCTCCCCTCCATCCCTCCTAGATGCACATTTCAGCCAGACTTGCAGTGCAACGCACTTGTAGCGCCTTGGTTTTCACAGCCCTGTGCCCTCAGGGCTTGCTAAAATGCCTTTCAAACCCTGGCTCACACAGTCTTGCAGCATCCACAGGCACACATGGTGCTGTTCCTGGTTTTAGGGCTGGAGAAAAACAGGCGGAGAAAGGACAGAGGAGGGCAGGGACAGAGGTGCAGAGGATGTTGAGCACTCTGGGCTCCAGCCCCAGTGTGCCCCAGTCCGCAGGCCGGTCCTCCCAAAAGTGTTTGCTCCCTGAGCACCTCCGCTTTCTCACCCCGCATGGCTTTGAGATTCATTTTCTTTCCTCCTGAGATTTGTTCCTTTCACCCACTTCCAATAAGCATTTCTGAAGTGTCTGAGTGCAATTTGCTCTGAGTGAGATGCTCCAGAGTGACAGAGGTTGAATGATTTTCTTGCAGCTGCCTCTTGTGGGTGTAATCCTGGTTCCCCCATAAATTTGGGATGTTTGCGGATCTGGAATATGAGAGGAGGAATAAATGCTGCCAGTGACCTCCGTGGCCTGACAGGCAGCTGCTATGCCCCGAGGGCCCATGTTTCGTGGCGCTACCAGGCCACTTGCAGGCACCAACTATTTAAACCCTACCTGCCCGCCAGGCCAGCTGATATGCACCAGCTCTGAGGGTGCAGCGGAGCACCACTCTTTTAAAAATCACTCGATTCCTGTGGGGAAGGGTGAGCAAGGACTGCCTGAGCCAGCAGCGTTACACTGATTGAACAGGAAGGTCTGAGGCTGGGATTTGGCCGTACGCTCTGGCGTGTGGTTCGAGTGCCCGAGGGCACATTTCCCATGCAAACAGAGCGCGGGGGATCCTGAGCTAGCTGGGCTCTAGGGTTGGTAGGTCCCTATGCCATGGTTTTACTGGCGATCCAGCTGTGCTGTTTTAACAGGGCTAATTAATTCAATAGCAATGCCACGTGATATAGACCTAGTGGACCTGAACGTTGGCACTGCTCTCCCTGCTCCTCGTGTACCAGCAGCAGCATGGGCAGAGCCAGCTCCAGTCACCAGTGGATGTGTCCCACGTCCCTTTGGTGTCAGCACCGGGGTGAAAAGCTTTCCCATCACTTCCATCCCTCTCCGCTTTCACACAGGCACGGCTCAATTTGTCTCGTCACTGCCAGCTTTTCAGACCTGGGGGCCTTCTGGCACAGAGTGAATGAAGGGATCCTGTATGCATCTGTTAGCTCAGAGCCAAATAGACAGATCCTTCTCAAGCTGCCTAGAAATAAGATAAAAACATTAATGATATGTGATAGTTGTGGTTGGGCCAAACTTAGCTCAAATCAAAAAGAAGTGGATTTGTCGTTGCTGTTGTTCTTCTGCATCTATATTCCCAGGTCACAAAGCAGCTTCGAAGCACTAGGTTGCTCCCTCAAGCCACCCAAAAGGGGGGAATATTTGGACTACAAGTGGCAGCAAAATAGACTGTGTCAGTGTAGACTCTTGGTGTGAATCCTGGTGAGGTGCTCAGTTGCTCCAGCGCCGGCACTCCTGAGTTGCTGACGTGGCATCGAGAGCCATCTGGGCACCCGGTGAAGGTATGAGGCACCTTGCTCATGCAAGCTCTGGGCACGTGGGTGGCAGGGAGGAGATACAGGCTTTCCTCAAGGTTTTGTGGCAGGTCAGTAGCAGAGGTAGGAAGCCAAGCCAGGCCTTTTGACCACTAGTCAATCTCCCGCTGACCCTGAGGCTCCGTTGATAATGCAGTGTCCTCCCTGAGATGCCACCTCTGTGGGGGTTTTCAGTGAACACTGAGTCCAAAGCACATTGGTATTACCTGGGCAGACTTAGCGTGCCTGTTGTGAAGAGGTTAATCGCATGATCTCATCAAACAGGAAGAGATTTGGCTGCATGAATATAGATGAGGCTTATTGCTTTGCCAGCTAAGAGCTCAAACTGGCTTCCCTGTTCACCTGGCAAGTGACTTTTTGAAGGGCACTTCACATCAAAGCCTGAATGAATCAACCTCTGAAAAACAGAGAAGTTTTTTGATCTCCAGGGAAACTCTGCCTTTCATTAAACATGAATTTGGGGCCTGAGCCTGTACGGTGTACAGCACTGGCAGCTCGCCTTGAAGTCAGCAATAAGTCAATGGGATTCAAAACAGAGCCCATCAAAGCCAGTGTCTAGGTCTTTCTTCCCTTGCTGCTTTGTTAGCTAGGGCCTTGTCTTGGCGATCCTGCCTACAGAAAGCCAGCTCCAAGTGGCTTGCAAGGGAAGGCAAGAGTCAGTGCTTCCTCCCAGCATCCCATCTGCTCACGCTTTGGAAGCAGACCCTGGGACACATGGCACGTGCTCGAGTCCATCTCAGCGTGAGGTCCTGCACTTGGACTCCAGACAGACTTCAAGCCAGGGAGTCAGGAAGGGTTTTGCCTGTCCTAGTCAGTGCAGGATATAGAGAGAATGCATAGAGGATGGACAGGAAAACAGTCATGATTCCAATATAACCAGGGAAGTTGAAGACTGGGAAAGTTGCCTTTGCAGTCAGCCCTGCTGGTTCACTTGCTCTTGGTGGGCGAGGATCCCTGAGCACTTCAGACACATCCATAAATTAAGCATCAGAACATCCCTGTGAGATGAAGAAAAGATAAAGCTTATGAACACCCCCCCCCTCACTTCTACAGGAGAGCACAGACTCCAGTAGAAGTGAGAATGGAGCTGGTGGGAAGGCACCTCTGGAGACCTCTAGCTCAACCCCCCTGCTCAAAGCAGGATCACCTGAAGCAGGCTGCCCAGGATCCTTCTTGACGTGAGAGGCCCAGGACTGGACACTGCTCCAAGCACAGCCTCCCCAGCACTGCATGGAGGAGGATAATAACTTCCCTGGAGCTGCTGGCCGCAGCATGCCACAGTGCCGCGCTGCAGATGCATGGCCAGGTGGGGGGGGAGGAAGGCCTGGCATCAAAGGGGATTGTGGCATGGGAATCCAGGAGGTTGGGCGAGGCAACCTCCCAAGGTCCCTTCCAGCCAGAGTTACCTGACAATCCTAAGGCTCAGTGGTGTGACTGTCCCATCAGCGTGAGAGCCTTTGCAGGCCTGCAGAAAGGTCTGTGGCAGCACCCTTAAAGCCTCAATTTTTCTCCCTTCTGATACAAATGACCAAGCTCTTCCTCTCCCTCTTTTTGCATTTTGTATTTTGTGGCCACTCTGGAATGACTTAAAACCTGAGAACATGAAAAGCAGTATGCAAAAGGGGGTTGTGGACCTCTGCTCTGAGCTGGGTTAGGAAAATAACTGATTTGACTACTGCAGAGTGGTGAGTCCGAGCAGAGTCTCAGTCTGAGATTTGCAGTGTCGTGTCTGATAAAAGCAAAGCAGGACAGTCCCCTGCTCCCTACAGCACGTTCATCCTGTGTGTGCTTTGAGGAGGCACAAGGAGGGCAAGTGTTCGCTAGCCAGCAGGCTGCTGCCAACCAGCACCTATTGTTCCCAGCATAGGTGCAGATTTCTGCTCCTCTTCTTAAGCCACTTGCACAGAATGTGCTGGAACATAATTACCTTGGAATTTTTTACCTTCACTTAAATTTGATTGGAACCAGCCAGTGAGTTCAACATGATTAGGAGCAAGGACAGAGAGACCATGCAAAGTCATCTACCTCATTTTTTTTTCAGAAAAGCAGGCCAGGAAACTTTGGATCCTGCTGTGAGTTAAAATTCAAAGTGCAAAGCCTATTTCAAAAGAGAGCACAGAAAATGTTCCCTTGGGATAAAGAGAGTGTGAAGACTGCTGTATTTTTCCCAACAGCGCAGGCCAGAACTGGTGCCAGGAGCATGAGCCGTCAGGCACAGACCTCCGTACACAACTCAGTGCATCTCCTAGGTGGCCCAGGAAAAAATGGGCCTGTGACAAGTTGATGTGAGGGAGTAAATGTAGAAAAGTGCATTTTTTTTGGTGGGGGGGGAGAGGGTGGGTCTCAGGATCAGGCCTGGAGCAGACAGTGGTGGAAGGCAGTGATGACAGATTTTGTGAAAAGAGCTCTGTGCTCTCTCTGGGCACATCCAGGGGAGCTCAGGGATTCAGCCAGGGCACTGCAATCACGTGGTTTTGCTATAAAAATAAGACAAGCTCATGATGGGGTGGAGCGATGAGGAATGGAGCAGAGCCAGGTGAGCCTGTGCGTGACAGGATGGAGAGCAGCCGTTGCGTTCGGTGCCTCCTTGGGGCACTGAGCCCTGAGGGACCTCGGCCTTGGCCCCTGTGCAAGGTCCCGCTCAGGTGCACAGCAAGCACTGCAGGACCAACCTGCAAAGTGGGATGGGTGCAGAAAGGAGAGCGCTGCCCACAAAGCACGCTATGGTTAGAGCCCTGGGCGTGGGTCACGCGAGGAGTCAGCAATTTCTTTCATCTACTTATTTCCAATACCAATTTCTAACCTTTCTCTCCACAGAGCAAAAGCTTGGACACGTGCAACAAGCGTCCTCCCTGCTGAGCCCTGGCTCCCTCTCCACTGCTGGCCTCGCACTGCTGCCAGCCTCCCTGCATGGGGAGGCACAAGGAGCGATGCCATGGCAATGCGTTCGCTCAGGGGTTGGTGGCAGAGTTGTTGGCCCTCCCTGTGTTTTGCCAGGCGTCTCCTCCTTCCCCATCCTCATGCACAAGCATCCTGAGGGAGGACGTGAAGCCCTCCTAGCAGCCCTATGAGTTAATTCAGGGGATTAATGTCTGTTACCAATTCACTCCTTTGTTTTGGATTTAGTCACAAGGTGGGAGCAGGTTTCTTTGCCCTTTTCCCATCTTCCTGTTTCCTCCCGGAGGCCCTGCTTGCCTGCATCTGACTTTGCATAGCCAAGGAGACTTTTCTTCTTTGCCACTCGGCCACCCTTCTTGTGCCCCTCATTCCCAGACGAGCCAAGCATTCGGGTGAGTCTCAGCCTGAAGGGATACATCACTCTGCACTGGGTTACTTGGGGTAAAAAAGTTTAATATATCCAAGTAGCAATGCTGGACAGAAACATTAGCCAAACTGGCAGGGTGGCTGAGACTAAATATCTACAACAGGGGCTGGAAAAAGGCAAATAAGAAGTAACTAACGTTACAAGCTCAGAGATAAGGTTATATTTAAACAGTATTGAAACCAAGGATGGAAATGCCCGACTAAGTGATGCAAGGACGATCCTCTAGATAGAGAGCTTTGAACTAAAACCTTGCAGGGCAGTGTTTAAAATCCGGATTCAGACTTTTCTGGTAGAGTCCGTATGTCTGCTCTCCTTTCCATGGGCAAATGCACACACTTAAAGCAGCCAGCTGAACCTGAGCTGTCCTGTGGCTTCGGGTGTGTTAAAAAAAGCCTCCACCTCCCTGTCGTTCTGCAAACCCAACCCAATCCAGGGACACCTGGTGTTGATTTGAGAGTACCTTCAATTAATTTTATGCCCCTCCATAAATTCCAGTGTGTTGATGTATTTTGTTTTGAAAATGCATAGATGTATTGATAGGTTCTTAGAGGGAGGCTGAATAGTTTGGCAGCTGGGCTGGGGACAGCCAGAGCTCTCAGCAGATGGGAAGACGTAGGAGGTGGGTTTGCGTTTTTGAGTAAACATGTTGGCGCAGTATTAAAGGAGTTGCCAATTAAATCATTGCAGTGTCGGCAATGCTAACTATCCTAATCATATTTCACTGAAACGGGCAGGAGCTACTCGCACCTCCTTTAAGCTGCCGTTTCAGTCTGTTTGCACACACAGCCAGATGTTGCTGTGTTGGTTAAATTCCTCCTGGAGCCAGACGGGTTTTATCACAACTCTAAGAGCTGCCAGCTCTTTATTACGACAAAGAAGCTATATAGAGCCCTTGGACAAGAAATGTCATTAATGGCAACTGAGTCCCTTGGATCGTAAGGACCTCACTAGTTCAGCTTGGAGATTTCACTGGCAAGGCTGGAGCAGCTCATCCCTCCCGCCAGCCCTCGCTGCCCCAGGAGAGGACAGCTTTATGGGACAGGAACTGCCCTGTCAGTGCTTGAACCCAGCGCCGCTGCTGCAAGAGCCCTGCTCTTGCCCCGGGCTGCCGGTGCTCAGCACCTCCTGTGATCCTTGCCTTTTGGGGAAGGTTTGAAAGAAGATGCTGTCATCTATCCCCTGGTCGTTGCTTTCTGGAGAGACACGGCAGAGCCCCATTTCCCCCTTGGGGACAGCGCCTGCTCTACACGTCAGTGTGCTGGGGGGGGCTGTGCTGGCTGCTGGGGCTGTCGGCCCAAGGTGCTGGCAATCGCTCTCTCCCCAGAGGATGCCGCTGGGTCACCCGGCTCACATCCAAGGGTGGTTTCCTGTAGTACCACGTTTGCAGAAGCTCGTTCACCTGATCCTGGTCTGTGATGCCTCGGAGAAGATCTTCCTCTCCTTCAGCCTCCTCCTCCTCCCTGTGCAAGTTGAAGCTGTGCAGTTTGATCTCTTTCCGCATGCTTTCAAAGAAGTGGAGGATGCACTGGTGAGCAAAGTGCCAGCTGTGCTCACAGCAGGTTTCCTCAAAAATCTTCTGCTCGATGTCAATGTAGTTGCTCCAGTAGCGTGTCTGCAGGAGGGCAGCTGGGCTGAAGCAAGGTCTCAGCCAGTGAGCAAGGAAAGCTGCTACGATCAGGATCAACAAAATGCTCCAGCCAAGTGCCTGGGTGATAAGAAATAAGCAGTTACACTGCGAACGTCCATCTGCATGGGCTTCAGCGGTGAGGTGAAAGCTGTCTAGACTATACGCAACCCCCTTTAGTAGGAAATTGCGCCTATTTTCAGTGCCCTCCCACCAGCCCTATCCCTGACCTGGCATGGTCTTTGACTGGGAGCAGGGGATGGAGGGCCAGCGTTTTGCTCCCAGCCATGTCCCTTTCCCATGTCACTCCTGAGCAAGCTGCTTCTGGTCTCTCAGCTTTCGCTGTCCTTAAAGCAGCAGGTCCTACCTTACAGGAGAGCTGGGACGTTTGCAGGTAGAAAAGTCTTCTCATCCTGAATAGGAGGGGCCTTAGGAGACCCAGATATTCCTTGCAACCTAGTTTTTATTGTGTGGGTTTAGAAGTTACCGCTTTTGTCTAGAAACAAAGTTCTGTTAATTAAACTATGTTTTATTTC